TGATGCCCACAAGCCTTGAAATTCGAAATACAGGTTCGCATGTCCCGACGTCCGTCTATATGCTGACTTCTGAGCTCCGATATTCGTGTATACAAAACTATCCCCCCGTAGTGCTATGCCGCAGCCTGCTTGATGCTACAGACGTGGCCCTGCTAGGGCTGTTGTATTCGTCTGTCCTGAGCGACTTCGATCCGCGAATCTCAACAGCGATCCGGCTACGCTTAGTAGACGACTGAGGAGGAGTAGGAGGAGTAGACCTCGGTGTCGACGAAAATTGATTGACCCGAGATTCACTTCTGGACTTTTGAGACTCTGTGGTGTTTTCGACAGAGGCTGACTCGGACTCAAGTCTCCTGATATTGGTGATAGGGGAAACCTCGATACCCATACGAGCCGGAACCACAGAAGGAGCTGCAGCAGTGGAGGCGTGATGCTCGTCTGCGAGGCTCTGAATCCATGCCTCGCAGAAAACAGCACCCAAGCTCACCGCGACCTCACGAGCAACACTGTTGCCAACGATTTTGTACTGGTCACTTGGGATACCCAACAGGACTTCTTCGTCCCTGAAGCCCTGTGCTCGTCGCGCCTCCATGACGGTCAAGACGCGAGGCTCGTGCCAGTGTAAAGTTCGACCGTTCTTCGCATCGTCCGGACTTTGGGTCTTGACGACCGTTACAAAGAGATGGTCGGGTCGTTGTCGACCATATGCGTTCGAGCTTGGGTTGCCTCGTCCTAAACCCTTATCGGTGCGCTCAGGAAATGCTAGGCGCTCGCTGGACGTCATTACGCCTGAACCAGCCTTTTTCAGGTCACGACCATACCAGGCTTGTGCGAAGTTCATACCCCAGGGTTGAGTTGGGATGAGGTGAATTCTACTTCGCATTAGAGGCGTGATGCCTACAGACACCCGATGGTCGGGGTATGGCACGCATATATCTGGCTTTGAATCATAAATAGGGGGCAGATCGGCAGTGGAAGCTTTCGCAGACACGAAGTCAAATGGTGTGGCGGCCGGCATAGCGCGCTCAGCCATAGGCTCTCCTGTGGGAAGAATACCTAGACTAAGTCTGGAGGTATTTTGCGGGTGAGCATGGGTTTGATGTGGTGCGTGAGGTAGGCGGTGGCCTGGTGCAGCAAAAGCCAGGAACACACGAGAACGACGCTGGGGTGCACCGCAGGCAGAAGCATCAAGAAAGAAAAAGTGAGCTTGATAACCCAAGCCGACAATAGCACAAATGAGCTGACTAAACACGTCTTGGTCTCGGTTAGCGGTCTTTTGTACGATTCCCGGAACGTTCTCAAGGAGACCGTACCGTGGACGGTACAAGTCAACGCACGACGCAAAGGCTGCGACCAACGACTGGTTCTTCCGCTGAGCGGCAGTTGTTTTATCGTTGGTCAGCCGAGAGAAGCCTGGGCAAGGGCTACCTCCTGAGATAAAATCCACATCTCCTATCGGTGGGACATTGTCTGAAAATTCGCCTTCGATAGCAAGACGTTGGAGATCGTCTATAGATCCAAGGAATGGAGATACTTCAGAAGGCCCTGCAGTGTTTGCCATGTAAGTATGAATAGCCTTGGCGTCAAAATCGTTGGCCCATCGCATCTCGATAGCACCTCCATCTTCCAACCCACGACCAAAGTTGCCACCACCGCAAAAGAGGTCCAGACCTCGCAGTCGTGGAATAGATTGAGATGGGTCGTAACCCTGCTGTATAGACGAGGGAGGTTCGGATATCGCAACACATGACTTCGTTCCAGTCTCATTGTCGGAAACTTGTTCGTGGGTGAAATAGAAAAACGCCCCCACACCGTCACGGTCATATGGCGTTGGTATTGCTTGTCCGTCTTCAAAATAACGAACGAAACATGGCTCAAGAATGCGGGATCTTTTTACCTCGACAAGTGGCTCGACATAGCTGTACACCAACTCATTGGGTCGAGCTTCAGCTGCCGGATCAACTTGATGTCTTCTTAACAATTTCCGAAACCTGTATATGCCGTTGCCTTCCTCCTCATAAAAAGTTAGAAACTCGCAAGGCTCGGACCGACCGCTATCCCTGTTGATCATGACGAGTCGCGTTTCGCCAGTTCGTAATCCTAGCGCCTGAGCAGAGCTCTCGCGTAGGTGAATGCAACGAAAATGGTCCTTCTCAAGGGTGACCCAATTTCGTTTTTGGCATATATATGTCTGGCGACAAAAGAACTCGGCTTCAGTCGCCGAAGTACCCCCAAACTCGACTTGGTGAACCCCTGACACTTCGTCCTCGGAGATCTTCGCTCTGGTATCACAAGAGCAATGGTCTGACAAAAACAACTCGTTGTTCCAAGGGTACTTCATCAGACCGCATAGAGTGTCCACGGGTCGGTAGTACCAAATCACATCGAACGTTCTCTGGCCACGCTTGTTGACACGCACGCGCTGTACCAGGGCGAACCATCGGTCGACGTCGTCAAACCCATGCGCAACGTCACGCCGCCATTGTGTGCCAGATCCCTCGGCATCTCGTTGGGTCGAGATTGTGTCACCTGCTCGGATCGCTCGAATCTGCTTCTTTCCAGCCATTGTTATGGTCTTACCACTATCATGAACTGGCGCTGGCAATTCCAGATGGCGTTGTTTGATCAGTACATTTCGTAAATACTGAGTAGTCTCACTCAGGGGAATGGCCTTGAGACGGTCGCCGAAGGGCTGGTGACTGAAACAGTCGTAGATGTATTGGGTAACGATAGTATCTGTGTCTTCGCTGGGCCCAATCTTTGGGCACGGTTTGTATCGCGTGAACTCCCATACCTCGGCCCAGATAACGTGCTTGTATGTTTTTCTATGCCCAAGAACACCGATCGCTTCCTTGTGTAAAAATGTAATGTTGGCCACAATCGACGTCCTGAAATCATCGTTTACATGCTGCCTCTTCCACGAGATGAAATCTGGTGCATGGCGATGCATTTTCGCCAGCCAAATGCTGAAGTTTGATCTAAAATGGAAGATCGTAACTTGGTCATTTTCCTCCCCTTTGAACTTGAGGTAATCCACGAAATGCTTTGCGAGATCTGCAACCCACAAGAACGGGTCAAAGAAACGACGATATTCCTTGGCAGGGGTATTCAACCGGTAGTATATCTCACGTTCAGTATTTAACACTGACCGTACCCAGATTTTGTCTTTGACAGTGTGCTTTGATAATGTACCGTAGTTCTCGATCGGCAACGCGCTAATTTCCACGCGATGGACGTAGATAGCAGTATTACCAACACTCAGCTTTCCGTCAAAGAAGACAGTATTGAAGCCATGTTTTGTGTGGAGGTGGTGGAGAGAGCACATCTCCTGGCCGTATCTTTGACGATCGGAGTAGACTGCAAAATCGTTAAGTTGGAACTCAACGAAGTCGTCATAGTCAATACCCTGACCGGCCTCTTCAGCCACCTCGAGCAATCGAGCAACAGCCTCACGTTCCTTAAGGACTGGGACGCCCGGTTCGAATGATTCGTAATACGACCTTGGTACTATGAGAAGGCTCTCGGGGAACTCAACGCTTATATTCGCGCTGGCGGGGACGCCCGGCGTCTCTTCCAGTGTAACGTCTTCCTGTTCCACTACTTCAGCAGAAGCACCTGCATCTGCATCACCAAATTCAGAACCAGGATCTATAGCCTCCATGACGCAAGACTCTGGAAGCTCAGGCATTTCCGGGTAGGTGTCTGCGAAAAGGGGTTCGGGACTTGAGACGTAGCCAAGAGGGCTCTGGGTGGGAGAGCTAGAGGACAGGGCGACCTGCTGCAAGACATTCATGCGCTTTTCCTCCTCCTCCTCCGCCTCCTCAATCTCACCAAACTTGGTCCACATTTTAGGTGCATCATGACTGGTAGTAGTGGTGGTCGCATGAGGCTCCCTCGCAGCGAAGGCATCTTCAAACACACCGTCAAAGTCGTCATTGTGATCAATGAGCCAATCGGTGTCCGGGTTCTCGAACTCCTCTAACGTTGGGTCGATAACATTATCTTCGTTCTGGGACTCATTTAGCGTTAAATCGACAACATTATCGTCGAGATCGATATGCTAGTCAGCGTCAGCAGTCGAACCATTAACTATGTTTTGGAGATGCAACCTTACAGGCATATTGAAGGATAAGACTTATGCCACTGCATGCTCAAAAGCAATAAAAATAATGGATCTTTGTATGCGAAAAACTCGATTGCAAGACAACACCAAGCAGTCTACACCTCCCATATCATCTTTTGATGAGTACAGCAGGTCTGACAATGCCAAGAGAATCCCATGTAAATAGGTCAGGCTTTGTGCATAGGAACAATAAGAGACCGAAATAAAGAAAGTTAAGACGCGAATAGGGATCGTTGAAAGCCTCAATTTCAACTCGCCTAAATAAGTGAGTGTGATTACAAAGACGCGAAGGGCTCGAGGCGTTCGTTGTATGCAAAAGGAGGATTGATTTAGGTAGGTAGAGAGGAGCGTGTATCTGAGTGCTTTATGAAGCGAGAGAGAGAGAGAGCAGAAGAAGTCGAAGTGAGAGGATTGTGTGTGTTTATTGTGGTCGTCGAGTTTCTTTGTTTGATCTTCAGGGCCACTCAGCTCAGTGAATCGTTGTCAATCCAATTCTAAAGTCTCGAGGTTCGGCAAGTCTGAGTGAGAATGCGCTAAACCCTTAACGGTCCGCAGCCCCACGTCTGCAACCTTCCATTCTGGCAAGAACCCCATCTTCTTTGCCTTATTACAAAGAGAAAAGTTAGAGAGATACACAATTTTCAGCGAGATAGGTACTAGGTACGGGTTTGCAAAAGTAGACAATCAAGACAAATCTCAGAGTTTCTCAACTCTCTTCCAGCTTGAACGCTCATCTACGCTGAACTGGACAATGCAACAACTAAAGTTAACTTCTCCTTGTCTGCTGGTATAGTCTACTGTATATGCCTCGAATCAGAACGCCATGCAATGCATCTCATAATAGCCCTCTTCTCTTGCCCATGAGCAAACCAGGTCATCATCTTCGTCGTCGGAATCTACTGTTAAATCCAGGACCACCCTTTGCTCCGTGGTTCCTAAGCTTCAGCCGTTGGAAGTTTGCGTGAGCCAGCTCATTGACCTTTCGCGCGGCCTTCCTCACGGTACCCTCCTTCTTCTGTGTGGGCTTCTTCTCCTTTACTTCCTCGAAATCAGATCCAGCATCCTCACCACCGGCTTGCGTTTCATCATTCTCAATATCGCTCTGAGGATTCTCTCCCATGTTCTCCGGTCGCTTGGTTCGAGTGGGACGCATCTTGACCATTCTCGTAGTTCGCTTCTGACCCTTCTTCTTATAAACTCTAGTCGGGTTACCATTTTCCTCCACTGGGCTGTCGTACAAGGCTTCATCATCGAAACCACCAAGTGGTAATTGCCGTGTCTGGGTGTCTTCAACCAGAATATCATCCTTTGGTTTGGACGGGAATAACGTCTTTGGCTTAGGTTCACCCATTCCTTCTTCTTCAGCGTCGCGCAATGCGTCCAAGTCGTCGTCCAAGTTCTCCTCTTCCACCTTTCGAAGACTCGCCACAATTTCACTGAGACCTCGTGTGAAAGGCTTGCGCGGTAGCCGTAGGGGTGCTGGGGCATCAAAATCGCCATTCTCATCAAGAACTGGTAGAGTGTTGCGTTTTAAGAACGCGGGTGTATCGAATTGGAGTTTTGAGACCGAAGAGGGCGTAACGGCGTCCTTGTTTCCATCCTTGTTCTTCAATGGGGTCATGAAGTGGTTCAGTCTTTGTCGTTTACTAGATGACATAGGGGTTCGGCCAAGCCTTTCGTTCTCCTCGTCATCCATGGTAGCTGATCGTTTGCTCGGAGTTGCATTAACCTTTCGCGCGGACTCTGATCTGGTCGCGGAGTCTTGTTTCGACGGTGTTCCTAGTTCTTTCTCTACCAATAAGTCAAAGAGGCCAAGCACGCGACCATCTCTTTGTGGTGTCGGACCCACTGAGGTCACCGACGCGGGACTGAACAGCTTTCGCGATATGGCTGGTGTGTTCATGAGTTCCTCATCATGGTCTTGTGTGCGGTTCTTGGAGGGAGTCTGGGTGTTTTTGGTACGTTTGGTGGGGGTTTGTGCTGGTAGAGTATCGGATTTCCGCTTCCTGGGCTCTTTCGAGGGAGGGGGGATTTTGCCTGAGAGTAAATCTCGAACCTTGTTATATTGCTTATATTTCGATGCTGTGCCATGGTTAGCAGCTTGGTTGTTTTGTTGTGCTAAAGACCTACCGATGTCTTCGTTGGCCTTGATGTCCCCTCTTCCTGGCTTCGTGCCCTCGTGTGTCTTTGCCCATTCTGTCTCCCAAGTCTTCAAGTCGATGCGAAGTTGCTGTGATTGACTTTCATAAGCTGCTCTCAAGTTTTCGTCCATTGCTATAGCCATGAAATCTTTTATTCGTACGTGAGTTTATGTGAGATTTGGAATTTGGAAGAAACATGCAAGAAACAATGGTCATGAGGGAAAGTGGAATTGAGTGTCGCCATGGCAGATAAAACGCGTCTATCAAGTCAGATGGATCCCTTTGCAACTGCCAATGCGGGACGCGAACCACTCAACGCGAAAATGGGTCTCACGTCATGACAGTTGCAGGGAAGGCGCGGGATATGGACGGAGCTAACGGGCCCACCCGCTCCGAACTTTGGTAGTTCCGGACCCCACCCACCTGAATCAAGCCCATTTCTAATTCATCGTTCAACATCTTCTTTTCACTATCCGTACCGCATCAAACGACAGCATCTCATCTTCGCCTTCTTACTTGTGTGTTTTGGATATCCTACCACTTGCGCACCAGGTGGCCAGCCCTATCGCGTCTCCAAGCCCCCAGCCCGCTATGGAAACAGACCAAAACACAGATGATCTCCAACGTCAAGTCTTACAAAGCACCCTCGACGAAATAGCGACCAGGCAAGAAGACGCCGCCGACTGCTGCGTCATCTGCCTAGAAAGCATTTCTGAAGCCTGTGAGGCTGTTCCCTGTCAACACAGAAACTTTGACTATCTCTGCCTTCTCAGCTGGCTTGAGCAATCACCAAAGTGCCCGCTCTGCAAAGCTGCCATCTCACAAGTTCGCTACGGCCTCGATGAACCTGTCGCAAAGACATACACCGTACCCGGGCCCGCTGCAGAGCCCCAAGCACCAGAAACTGAACATCCATTATTTCCGCCCCATCTTCGTCCCCGCCGGCGTCACTCTCACCATCGTCCACATCCAGGTCAACTACGATACGCAATCGCCAGCTCGAGTCCTTCAGATGAGATCGCGAAGCGGAGGGATGTGTATCGCCACAACAGATACTCTAAACATGTCGGGTCGAATCGATTGTCTCGGTACCGCGAACTGACACCCGCAGCCTTTTGTTCAGATAGCCACTTAGTCTCTCGCGCACGGATGTGGATTCGTCGAGAGCTGCAAGTGTTTTCCTTCTTAAACCCTGATGCCGACCAGACAGAACCAAGACCCGCCGGGAATTCACAGAGAGATACAGTTGCCAGAAGGAGAGCCAACCATGCTGAGTTTCTCCTCGAATACATCATTGCCATTTTGAAATCCGTTGATATTATGGGCAGTGCTGGCCAAGCCGAGCAGATGATTTCGGATTTTCTGGGTCGAGACAGCACGCGCCTCTTCTTGCACGAGCTAAGAGCATGGCTTAGAAGTCCATACACAAAGCTTGAGGAGTGGGATAGGGCTGTTCAATACGACGTGTCTGCACCAAGCAACCCTGGAGCTGAATCTGGAGGGATTGGCAGTTCAGGGCAAACCCAACGCCAGTCTAAGAACGTCGGCGCACGTGATTGGGACACAACACGAAGACAGGGAGACTTTTATCGGCCCGGGGGCCGATTACAGCGACCCCGAGAAGTGTATAGACGCAAACCATACGGAAGACCGCATAGAGATTAGTCAGGCATGATAAAGTATTGGAGTCTGGATAAGGCAAGATAGAATATTATACCCGGAGAGCAATCTCCACTGAATGAATAACGAATTACATTGCTACTAGATGTGTTTGGAATAATCTGAGGTTCACTGCAAGCTTGCGGCGAAATCATCCATAGCTTACGAAGCAGAACTCCTCGATGGGCGGAATTCCGCCCTCATGATGAGGCTATGCCCGTTTTCTCCCGCAAGTTCAGATATGTTGTCGAGAAGAAGCACTTATAAATAGGAGTTGACCAAAGGTCGTCCGTCTCGGGTGTAAAATACACCCGATCCCAGGGCAGCTGAAACTGCTCTGTATCTTTCCATCATATATTTCCTATCCAGTTCAATATCTCATCCCAGATTCCCTACATAATAACAAAAACAAAAGCTGCCATAATGCCCACGATCTCTATAACCATCATATCAGACCCCGTCTGTCCATGGTGCTTCATCGGCGCCCTCCGTTTATCCCGCGCCATAGCTCTCTATCTCAAAACTGTCTCTTCAACCGACACTATCACTACCAAATGGCACGCTTACCAGCTGGATCCCAATACACCCAGACAGCCCCTCATCACGAAGATAGCATCAAAATGGGGAGAAGACCAAGTGCCCTCAGTCAAAGCTCGTCTCAACGGTATTGCCAAACAAGAGGGTGTGCAGTTCAACTTCAACTCTACGATTGGTAATACCAGAGATGCGCATCGGTTGGAGAAGCTGGGGCGAATGAGGGGTAAGGAGACGGAAGTTGCGCTGGAGATTATGAGGATGTATTTTCTGGATGGCGGAGATATTACTAGTAAGGAGGATTTAGTGACCGCAGCGGTTAAGGCGGCCCTTGAAAGGGATGAGGCGCGGGAGTGGTTAGATGGGGATGATGGGGGTGACGAGGTTGATAATGAGGTTCGTGAGATGCAGGAGAAGGGCATAAGGGGGGTACCACGGTATATCATCAATGATAAGTATACCGTTAATGGAGCGGAGGATGTTGGTGATATCCTTGAGAAGCTCGTTATGGCGAGAGAAGATCTGCTTGCTAAGAATTAGGAGACATTTCTCCTTCATGTTATATCATGTTTAAGATTTTCATATCTCATAAGGGTATCATCACATTCTCATCAAACCACCAAGATCCTTCTCCATCTGCCTCAGCCTCACTTGCAGCTCCCTCTTCTTAACCTCCATCTCCTTCGCCTCCTCTTCTTCCCTTCTCAAGTCATCCTCCGTCCAAACCTCACCCTCTTCTTCTTCTTCCTCTTCTTCCTCATCATACCAATCTCTGTGATCTAGGCTCGCCAACTGTTCTGCCTGCTCCGCGACGCGCGCTTCGTAATACGCTGCTGTGTTCTTCCCATGCGCATGTTTACTCCTCAATGCAGCGATGCGCGCCCTCGCTCCAGGGAGTTCGTATACACTGCAGAGCTTTTCTGCGCCGCGCAGAAGAACATTTACGTCGACGTCGCCTTTGCGATCTGATTCTCCGCGCCGTAATTCTTCGTGCATTTGACCGCCCAAGACAGCTGCTACGGCCGTTTGTCGTCGGGGATGTGTGCCGGTGCGGGGTGGAGGCCCTGTGGTGACTTCGCCCGAGGCTACATTAAAGACAGTTTGTCGTCGACCCGAGGACCTTTTCTTTTCTGGTTCTGTGGGTTTTAGAGTAGTTGAGGGCGGAGGAGGCGGTGGGACGGAGAAGAGCGCGCGTTCGTGCGGTTCTGTGTCGCGGATGAGAGATGTGATGTCATGGTTTGAGAGGAGGGCGTTGGTGAAGATCTTTGGAGGAGGGAATCTGAAGGCAAGTTAGCGATTGATACAGGAGGAAGTGTGTGCTACCTACGGTAGAGAGTCAATTCCCTGGCACGAATAGCCAATTTGTTCCAGATGCGCAGAGATGAGCGACATGATGGACGTGGTTGTCGGTCAATTCTCGTACTAATAAAAGTTCTATATTCTGAACATGCGAAGAAACCACAAGATCTATTGTGTGCGTCCAACTTGTCCAGGCGGAAGAGGAGAACGACTTCAAAGTTACGGGTTGATGATAGAGATGACAGCTTGTGTTGACGATGGTGGGTCGAGTTTCAAAACAATCAAGGGACGTGGGCGAGCAGCTCTTATCGATAAGTACCCCCACATTGCAATCACTTACACCCCAGGGCATACCAGCTCCTAGGTAGATATTGATCATCAACCTAACAATCAGACCAAGTATCCGTAGGTAAGGTAGCTATATTACAGGAGCCGCTGAACTATCCAGCCATAGGTGTTAACCCATCCAGATAATAATTATATCTCATCTGTTCTATATCATTCGTGGGCATAATCTTACCAACCACCTACGTACGCTTAGTTTTTGATGATTGCGACTAAGAGTAACATTAGGAGTAGCTTCATGAAACCAAAGGAGTAGACAATGCATGTCCAGTGCATTGAGAAATTATACGGCCGAGTTCAACCAGAGTTCAGATCTTCGCAGGTCCTGATCTCCAGAGTGCTGTTAAAGCTTCATAACTCCCGGTAGATCAAGACCTTTCACTTACCCAGTCAAAGCAAGAACTACAAGGACAAGACAAATGATCTAATACCCTGGTTCTAAGGATACTGTAGTTAGTGGCATCAAGCGATGCCCTCTTTGCAGTTTGAGGTGAAAAGCCACCGCTCGTTATCAGGCATATGCAACGTATTATTGCCACTGCATAAAAAGGTGAGAAAGGAATCTTCAGTGTGTCCCATTTCTTCTAAAATTGCTTCAATGATGATGATAAATGCCAAACGCTTTCATGTTGTCTGCCAGACTTATATCCATGTCTTCTCCGCATATATATGATGATCTTCTGTGCTTCAATATCATGCCCATCTTTATATCTTCAATAAACAAATTCGACATATCGTAACAGTCTAAAGGTATCCCTGTGAAATCCAATGTGACAATTCCGTCTTCGGCCTGAATGCAAATCCTATGCAAAACATGCAATATCATTTCTCTGACCAGATGGTCTCCTCAACCTTCAGTATCCGTACCTGCCCGTTGCATAACTGATCATGGGGTTAAGGCAGGGCGAACACAATCAATGGTTCACCGTTGCCCGAACCCTGGTAGACTCAGGGGCTGGTCGGTGTAGGCGGTGCCATGCTCGTGGGATGCAAAAAGGTGAGTCATTATCGTCGTCAGAGGGACCCCTGGTCGCCCTCTCGTCCTCGTAATGTCATTAATGTTCATGCCTATGCGGGCCGGGGTAGCATGATGGCTGTCGCAGCTGATGTAGTGCGTGGCTTGCAGGGTCCAGCACTCTAGCTGGAGCTTGAGCCCATCTCCATAATTTCGATGGCCCAATAGGGCAATTCCCTTGCGAGATGCTGGTGCGCGACAAGTTCATCCTCACTAGAGTCTGGCTCCTCAAGCTCCTCGATCCGCGCAGGGGGCGGATCATGGAATAATAGGCTGGTACGATGCATCTTTCTCCGCATACGACGTGCGCTGGAGCCGACCTCGTTGGCGTCGAGCCCCTCGCCCTCATCCTCCGAGTCGCTGAGTTCGCTGTGTGTCCGTTTGCCAAAGCTGCTACCCATGCTCATACGTCGGAATTTCTTTATTTGCTCGCGGCGCTTCAAGAATTGCGCTTCCTCGTCGAGTTCGCCCTCGCCCTCGGGACTTTGCTCGTTATCTGATGTTTCGTTGCTGCAAGTGAGATTCCTGAAATCCTTGACCATAGTCTTGTGGGCTTTCCTGCTTCGTGACCTTGAACGACTGCGATTGGATTCAATCTCGGTAGGTTGTAGAACATCGAGTCCGTCGCAATCGCTATCCATAGGGTCAATATCCTCGACAGTGAAATTACAAGCAACTGTAGCCGTAGCCGTTGAAGTAGCAGTAATGTGAGAGGTCTCAACCTCGTCTGTTGCGCCGGATCTGTCGGATTCTGAGCCCGAGTCTGATTCTGAACTGTCTGAATCACTAGAGCTGTTGGTGTCGTCGTCTCCAAGCTCCATCGCAGAGTCGTCAATTGGCGAGGAGATGGCTGGGCCAGTAACATTGCCCATGCTTCGTATGCTGGGACTTGCGGAATCTTCTTCATCCTCATCTTCACTACTGCTGTCCTCATCACTGGTGTCGTCGGCCATGCCGGATGAGGAAGACGAGCGAGGGCTCAACTGATGAGGGCCAACTGAAGGCTGATAGCTGAATTGGTGTCCATCGCCAGTTGGCTTAATGTTAGGATCCGAGTCCAATGACTGAAAATAATCATGAAAGTCAGGTTGGCGCCGAGGTTTTAGACTGGTCTTGCGTAGGAATGGCGGCGATGTGGTGGGGGTTTCTGGTGGCGAGTTGGGGTCGGCGGTGAGAGGTTGATTCTGGACTTCTTGTACTTGAGCTCGAAGTTGAGCGACATTGAGATTTGGCGTCGTGGGCCGCCGCCGAAGACTCTTTTTTGGCGGCATGGCTGATATGGTGTATAAATCGGTAGACCTTAGAGTTGAGGTCTAACAAGAAACGTATATATGGTATGGAACAACAGGAATCCCAATTGCGTCCAGGTGTTAACCTTTGATGGACAGTCAGATGAGTCGTCTAACAAGCCTCGAGTCTTGGACTTGAGTAAGACCGTCAACGACAAGTGACTTGGGTTGATAAGGGTCTTATCGATCGACGACAATTGGATGTGTAGTCAAGTAGTTTGGTTGGCTATGATGTGGGGTAAACAAACGGATGGAGGCGAGCCGATCCGGAAGTGAAGTAAAACGAGTAAGATATAATAGTAAGGTGAGGTGAGGTGAGGTGAGATCAAGTGAGGGTGTAGTTGAGTGAGGCGGTTTAGTCTGGTTTGAGGTTGAGGTACCGGGCAAGAGAACAACAATGCGTTGCCTTGCCTTGGTACGAAGAGGAAAGAGAACAAGAAAAGAAGGAAGACAAAAAAACGGCAGGAAGAAAAAAAATTGCAATCGTTGGTTACTGCAAGGCAAAGCAAATGCAGATGCAGCAGTAGCGGTAGCGGTGCTGGCTGGGCTGGGCTGGGCTCAGTGCGTGTGCTGTATGAAGACGTGGGCGTGGGTGTGAGCGTGGGTGTTGACGTGGGTATAGTTATGCAATTGGATACAGGAGACTGGGCTGGGTTAGGCCAATACTACGCGGGGCTGCCAGTCGAGTCCCAGTCCAGTCAGTTGCCAGCAGAGCATAGACGATGCAAGACAATGCACCCAAGTGGCCGAGGGTGGGAGCGAAGAGGGGAACGTAGATGGAGTCGATTGGGTGCCCCAGTCAAATAAGCCCAGTCAAGTCCAGGCTGTTTCTTTAATGATGCGGTGCGTGATTGGCGATAGAATTGGTTGGGCGGTTTATTCTTTCAGGGCCTTTGATAGTGTCCGTAGTGTTGTTTGACTCAAGAAAGCCAGCACTGACTGACCTTGTAGTTCAGGAGAGTCGCAAATCTGTAGTAAAAATAGAAGGTCCAAGGAAACAAAATAGAAGAAGCGGAGAAGATGACAAGACGTGGGACAAACGCACAAGCCAAGTCGAGTCAAGGCCGGGTCTTGCTTGTTGCGGGGGGTATCCCGTCAGGTTCAGCAGTCAGGTAGGTCCTCGCTTGATTCAACTTTGGGCCTCAAGCCAGTCGATACGATGTCGATATTTGTGACGATCAATTGGTAGTGGAGAGACAATGGCAGATATCAATGGATGAGTCTGCTGTCTGTGAGCAATAAACAGTAGCGATAGTCAGGGAGTCAGGACCCAGAGGAGAAACCTCCAACACGGAGAGGATGATATGCGACTTGTGTTTGGGGTCATGATAAGTCTTTCTCCAAAGACAGGCGATAGAGTCGTCCTAGAAAGGGGACAGAGACCTGGAGAGATATTGCTTCAAGATATCTCTGTCAGTCCGTTTATCGTGATATCGCAGTGCCTCGTAGTAAGCTATATCGCTACTGCCAAGACCCAATTCTGGCTGTGCAGTACGGAGAAGGAAGAATCTCGTTGTCGAGATTAATAAGGTCGAAGATGATTATCAATCCCGTTGGTAGCTCTTTTGTCATTCACTTGAGAGAATCCAAGTGAAGATGACAAAAAAGGAAGAAAAGGAGGGAAAAGAGAAGAAGAAAAATAAAAAGTGTGAGAAAGAGGAGGGGAAAGTGCCAGATAGAAGAAAAAAAAGAAAAAAAGTAAAGGGCACCTCAAATGCAATGCAAGTGAGATGCGGATGGCGAGCACCGACCGGAGCTTGTGGACGGAGGGGGTACCTTTACTGTAAGGTAGAGAGATGACGGGTTCTTTGATAGGCTCGGCGGTCCTTGATGAGCAAGTGAAATGCACAACAGATTGAAAAGACGATGAGCTATGTAGGTAAGTAGGTCACTGTATGTAAGTACCGTAACGGTACCAGCCTGGTACGCGACGGTACAGCGATGATCAAGTCTGCAGCAGCTGCAGCAGCAGTTACTGTAAGTCAAAAAGTTAGAAGCCGATCAACGATGATGCCATTGATCAAATGACGATGGATGACAGACAGACAGACAGACAGACAGACAGACAGACAGACAGACAGAAAGACAACAATCAGCCAGGCCAGGCCAGTGGATAGATAAGAGAAGCCTAATAACAAGGTATGTCCTTGCATCTGAGCCTCAGCCGTGCTTCTAGTTCAAAGAATCTAGTCTAGCGCAAAGGGTTTCTGCTGCTCGGCTCTCTTTAGGAGCGAAGCGGCCTTTTTCGTCTTCGTGCGGAGGAGGAGAGTGGATGGACGATCAACTTGGACTGCCGGGGCCGGGGCCGGGTTCGGATCGGGTCTGTAAAACCACCAAAAAAAAAGAGGAGGTTGGGCCGTAGATAGTCAATGTCTCAGTGGATGAGGCCTAAGAGGTCAACTAAGACTCTTTTCTGGTCCCACAGCTTGGTCTTGGGTTCGGTT